ACCGTGCTTTTTTCCGAACGTGATGTGGACTTACTTTTACCGTCACTACGTTTTCTGAATGTGTCTCTAAACAGACGACTGTACCGATCGAAAATTTCTCCAACATCCTTATTTTTAAACCTATCATACTTGGGGTTCTCCTGCGTACAACAAAACGGCAAAAACCATTGTTCGTGTAGCTATTCGAAAAAATCACACAAACAATTAAGAACACGGCACACAAACAATTACAAGACACAATACAATCCATGCTGTTTGAAGTGGTCTAAGACAACAAAAACTACAAAATGCAACAAGACAAAAACTTCACATATATAACCTCAAAGAAGCAAACCATATAGTGCGGCAAATTTTTTTTCATGTACGAAGTGAACAAAACGGACACTGAGTATAATTGGCAGCAATTTTTGATTAGATTGCTGCTCATTGTTCCAGAATTTATAACGAGAGAAGCCGTCCATTTTGAAAATGCCTACGAGTGTGTGCTTCGATGGAGGATCTATAAAGGAATCGAGAAAACACTATTCAATATCTTACTTCGAAAATGGTAGAGGAGAACAAGCAAGAACACACGGAAAACAAGGATAACCGAAAAAAAATGTAACGGACGCTTGAAATCTGCCGGAGATGGAAGTTCGCGTCACGACCTCTTGTTCATCGGAATCGAGCAATCTTGGGCGGAGTTCTAAAATCCGTTTGCAAACACTATGGGCTATACAGGTTATATCACAAGTGTTTAGTTCTTGGTTGTTGTTGCGTTTTTTCTATCGCAAGTGTACGATATCGTAACAAGTAGTAAATTGGACCATTGAGTCCGGATATCGTTCCCACGAGGACTAAACTTTTAGTACTTAATATATTTTTTTCTACTACTACTAGACAAAAATAGCAAATAAAAAAAACGATGAGTGTTGTGAGAATAGATTTTCCTAAATCACTTAAATGCCTAAGACTATGGAAACGAAAGCAATGAGAATTATGATGAATGACAAACACAAATGATTGAAGTTTCACGTATATAGAATGTATTAGGACAAAACAACTTCACTTATTGATCACCTTAGTTCCAAACTCAAGATTCTAGCCTAATGTAGTGTTCGGTCGAATTCTCCTACGATATTCAACTTACCCCTCTCTAGTTCTCGTTGAGCCTATTCAACTAATTCAATTCCATAACTCTATACGAATTACCCTTAGTTAAACGAGTTATGTCACTAGGAATTCATATAACGACCACAGCATTTAGTATAAATATCTCTACACGTTACACCTTGTTATGGGATTTTATTACACGTTCTAAATCTCGAATTCACCTCTTGATTCTTAAGAAACTCAATAGATCATTAAATTAGTGGCAAGATAATTTAAAGCATACTATTCATAACAAAATCAACACACGGAAGAATAAAAACTCAGAAATTCTTGAATCCAACAACTAAGGGTCTCAATAAGTTACATTGTTTGCCCTAATACAAAATTTAGCTACTTGTAATCAAAATAAATAAATAAATAACAAAATTCGAATATATCACCGGATTTAAATGATACAAAAGTTGAAAAATGATTAGCTCTTGCACTAAGATCTCTTTCCACTTCCAACCCCTTGATTGAGTTTGAATCCTTGATGTAATTTTTCGCGTGAAATTGTCTTCAAATTTGTATTTTTCTCTTTATTTTGCAAGGTGTGGAACCCTTATTTCGTGCATTCCCCAATCTATTTATAGTTCCTCACATTCATGGCCAAGTTGGAGACTCATTCATGATCTTTTCGTAGCAAAAAAAAAAACAAAACAAAACCTAAATTTTAGGGTGCAGTGCCTAGGAGCGAGAAGGCAGCGCCTAGGCGCTGCAAAGTCTTCTCAGGCAGCTAAGGCAGCGCCTAAGTGCTGCAATTCTGTTGATCTGTTGCTGATGCAGTGCCTGGCAGTGCAAAGGCAGCGCTTAGGCGCTGCATCTCTGGTCCTTTTTTCTTCTTCCATTGCTTCACATTCCTTTTTTTTCATCATTTTATCATTCTTTCAACCAAAATATTAGCAAACACATTAAATTCGTACTATAATTAACAAATGAAGCAACCAAATGAAGTTAGAATGATACGAAACTCGTGTGTAAAGCACACTCATCAGTTGTCTTTCACCGTCTATGTCTACGCATGGAGGCAAGAGAGCCAGCAATTTCTGATTTCGTACGGAGAGAAGCTTGGATTGAGATTTGTGATGTCGTTGGTGGGGATGTGGAGGGACATAAATGGTTAGAGAGGCAGAAAAATATATTTTTTTAATTAATACCTGATTTTTATAAAAAGAAGAATCTTAATGCCTGATTTATGATAATTAAAATTTTAAAATCATCGTTTGGATAATTTTCCTTTATAAATTTTGAAGTGATTTGCACCCATACAAATACATGTAATAGGCGTTTTTCATTTGAACTTTTAAGTCCATAGAAATACATGTAATAGGTGTCTTTCATATGAACTGTGCATTGGATTAAAAAGGAAAATAAAAAATTGATGCAGTAAAAATTATCCATTAAATTATTCATTTACATGTATCTCTATTACAATTATACAGATTTATTTAGTCGACGACCCTTTGAGGTAATGAGGTACTATTATTAAATAATTGGTTTCTAGGCTTCACTGAGCCTTTTGTTAATTTTCTATTAAAAAAACTAAAATTTGATTGGGCAGGATTGATCCAAATTAAGTTCTAGCCCTTTTTTTTTTTTTTTTTAATTTTCAACGCAAAATTATTTTTAATGACTGTTCACAAAGCCTCATATTTTGAATTATCGTCTCGCTTAAGTTTTAGTTGCAAAAACCATGACTTCTCTTATGCTTTTGATTTTCAATCATGTTACATGTACATCTTATTTGACATTATTTTTTTATATTGTGCCACACGTTGACACGTGATTGGGCAGTTTTTAAAAAAACACACACTTTCCCGCCCAACACGTTTTGAATTCCTACACAATGTCAACAAAAGTGTGTACCATGGAATGTACGCTTAACACAATTCTTTGATTTTTACAAATGAGCCGTGCTATTGAGCCTGGCTCAATGCCAGGCTCAAACAGGGCGCCACATGGTCAGCCCCCCTCCAATAGGGGGCGCCACATGGGCGCCTTGTTCTTGAGCCTGGCATTGAGTCGGGCCAAGAAGATTTTCCCTTTACAAATAGACCAAATGAAATTCTTGAATTAAGCTAGGAAGTAGGTGGTTTTCGAAGGACAAGCATCGGAGGCTCAAAATAAATCACTAAAGAAAGTTATGAATTGGTCAGGACTTATTCAAAGAATTCGAGTGCAATTCATGTATAGCGTAAGATCAAGATTATAGTAGTAGCTATTTATTTTGTAATTCTAAAATGAATTGTGTTACATGCTCTTTTCTAGTGGATTTCTTTATGGTTTGGAGACCTATAGATTTCCCCTTGTCATGTAGTTTTACCAAGCTAAATATGTCATTATCCTTTATTTACTGCTTCAATTAACTCAATGGACTCACTTTGTTAAATGTTCTGGTCATTAATCAAATGTTGTGATTGATTATTTTGTGAATATTATAGTATTGGTCGAACTTTAAAACACGGATTATTGGTCAAACTTTAAACTCATATTGTGAAATTTAGACGATCAATTGTCATAACATTGGTCAAACAGTAAAACTCGAATTCAGTAACATGACTTTTTATTTGTACATTTTTTAAGTCTTATAGAATTTGAAATCTAAGACTTTAAGTTATACAACATTGAAAATTTGTATGTACAATGTATTCAACTCCTAGGTTATGTGCCATCCAAAAGTCTGAACTTTACAAAAATGAATTATGTTTTTGCTACAACTTTTCCACTAGTAGTTAATTATAGTTAACAATGACTCCACACCATATGAAAGACTTCAGGTTTTCAAGAGAGTAATTGAAAAATGTTATTGACCACATTTAATTTTGAAATTACCAATATAATTGACTTGGTATATTGTTTGTTCAAAAATAAATTCAAGTTAAATTATATAAATGCCTAGCAATTGCAAGTTGGTTTTGCAATTTTTAGCTTGTTCATTAACTTACCAAATGAGATTGAAATACATTTAATGGGCTTCAATATGTCCATCTATCTGTCTTCCCAAAAAATAAATAAGTAAATTGAAAGTAAGTTTCCAAACTAAAAGTTACTTTTACCCTTTTTTTTGGGCACACATGACTGACAAAACAAAGAACCTGTCTAATGGAAATTTTTTTAACCAAAACAATCAATTTTTTTACCCTCTTTTTCCAGACTTTTTGCTCCACCAGACACACAAATTAGCTTGTTCATTAACTTACCAAACGAGATTGAAATACATTTAATGGGCTTCAATATGTCCATCTATCTGTCTTCCCAAAAAATAAATAAATAAATTGAAAGTAAGTTTCCGAACTAAAAGTTACTTTTACCTTTTTTTTTTTGGGCACACATGACTGACAAAACAAAAGAAGTTACTCAAGAGTAAGACATGTTTGGCTAAGCTTAAAAGTTACTCTTTTTAAGTACTTCAGGCTCAGCCTAATACTTTATAAGAAAAGTAGCATCTATTTCCTTTTCATGCATATGCTCATTCTCAATTGTTGAAGGCTTTGCAGGCTGCTAAATACTTGACAAGAAGATAATTTAGAATGTCTTATCAGTATGTTAAATATTCTCATCTTATATTTTAGTATTGAGATGAAAATAACAAGAGTTTTCGTCAATTTACACTTTATTAGTGCTATACCTCGCCCTCTGATGAACTAGTCGATAATTTCCACTGTTGTAACTGAGCTGCTGCCAATCTCAGAATTGCTGCTCCTGGTGTCCTGCTTAAACAAAAAAAGAGGAGAATTTATATTAGTGCATTATTGCACTGCATTGAACTGCAACATAGGATTATTTCGTCGTCCTGTCAACCCAAAAATAAGTTTTCTGATGGGTCAGACTTAAAGATGAGCTTTCTTGAAAGCTTTGATCTTGCGCATTCATTTGATCAAATTGGCCTTGTTTCCAGAGCCGAGATCTCTTAGTCGTATCAGTTCAGGCAATATCATTGAATCGAGATCTGGCCTGTCCTTTTTCCTCAATTCACAACATTTTAATGCTAGTTTTGCAAATGATGAAGCCTCCTCAGCTGGCCAATCATTCACCGTTTGATCTAGTATTTCTGCAAATTGTCCTTTTTCAATTGCCCTCTCAACGTGATATGTCAAACCCATTGCAGGTTTTGCAGTGATGATTTGCAACAACATCACACCAAATGAGTATATATCGGATTTTGTTCCTAACATCCCGGTTTGTTGATACTCCGGATCGATGTAACAGAATGTGCCTGCTGCAGCCGTCATTCTATATTCAGTATCACTGCCATCTAAAGAAGGTGGAACCAACCTGCATAGGCCAACATCACTGATTTTGCTGACATAGTTTTTGTCTAAGAGAATATTGGCAGGTTTGAGGTCGCGATGCACGAAGGGTTCTGGCCTTGCCTGATGAAGGAAAAGCAGGGCAGTTGCGATTTCAGCAGCTATCCTAAAGCGGGTGGCCCATGGTATGGATGGAGTGCCATTCCTGCAGTAGAGCCTGTCTTCTAAGCTGCCATTTTCCATGTGCTCATATACAAGGCAACCATATTCGGGGCAGGCGCCCAAAAGGATAACCATATTTGGATGTCTCAGGCGACTCAACATCTCAACCTGCAGCATGACATATCAGATAAACAGTAGATTAAAATTGACGTTTGGAGATGTTATATTTTGAGATTCTTCATTCTTATTTATCCATGTGAATTTATCCTTCGGACGAACATGATTATCCAGATTAACAACTTAACTTATTTCTTATTTTGATTGTTTGAGCGATGTTTTATCCTCTCTTCCAACTTCTGTGAAATTTTTCTTTCAGAATCTTCTTGCATTTGAAAAGAAGTCAAAAGTAAGCATAAGCTTCTCACAATCAAGAAAGTTTGTCTATTATCTTCTATCATGAACTAGGGAAAGTGCTTCAAATATGATGATAAAATTGGAAACTATCAACAAAGAAAAGTTCAAGTCTTTAGGTTAATAATAGTTATCTCAGTATTGGCCGATAAATAGCTTCCTTAAGCCCGTGTAGCATATACTAGCCTTAAGATAAGTATTGTCCCGATGCTTGAATCTCATTCTTCATTCACCAACAGTGTGAGTGCATAAATAGAAGCGTTATTTGATTATCAGAATGTTACACAGAAAGGGTGGCATGTCCTTATCTGAACAGAAATCATTGTTAATTCACTGGTAAACAAAAAGATGGCAAATTTCCTGTTTGACATGGGAAGTTAAATAAAGCTTGCCTGAAGTTCACAAACCCATCGTTCTTTATAGTTCAACGCAGTAAACCTAACTGCAATTAATGACAATTTTCCAAATCTTGTTTTAACGATAGAGAGATCCATACACGATACAACTAAATATAAAACCACGAATTAAAAGGGAGGCATGGTGATATATGTAATTGCCATAATGAAATAATGGATAATAAATACCTCCCGGTGGAATTGTTTTTGACCTTGTGAGATTTCTGACCTCAAAACTTTAATTGCAACAGATGTGTGACCGAGAGTAGCTTTATAGACAGGTCCATATCCACCTTCGCCTATTTTTTCTGAATCTGAGAAGTAATTAGTTGCAATTTCGATTTCTTCAATTGAGTATTTTCTGCATCTAATTTCATTGCGTGCTAGTGCATCGAGGGCTTTCATTTTCTCTTCAGCTTCATGTTTGAACTTTATCTCTGCAAGCTTTCGCTTCTCAGACTCCAATTCTGCTATGCGTTGCGCCTTTTGTGCTATTTCAACTGCAGCCTTACACTTTTGCTTCTCCCTCTCTACCATATCCATTGCAGCCTTTTGAGCATCCTTGACTTCTATTAACTTGCATGCCTCATCTGACGGCCATGGATCAACCTCCCTTACCTGCTAAAAACTATATGTTGTGAAAAGCAAAAAAGATGATGCTGGATTAATCTAATACCAAATTATTGGAGAAAATAAGAGATTATAGTTATAATATGAAGTAATTGATAACAAGAACAAAATAATTTGCAGAGAATGAAAATGTTTTTATAATATAGAGAAAGAATACAAAGATTTTGTGTTTTTGATTTTCTCTAACTTAATTTAAAATACAATAAACAGCTAAATATATATAGGGAACGATCCAAGCTCTAGAAGTAGAGTTGTAGATGAAATAGAATGCCAAAAAATTTTCTTATCTTGATCTCTTCAAGTCCAACACAAATTCCAACTTCCAATTAGACTAACAAATAAAACTTCAACTAGGATTTGTCAAATAGACTTTAAATAGAATTTTAAAAAAAAAAATTCCAAATAGAATTCATCTTAACGTGCACTTTAATTAAAATTCTCAATTATCTTCAACAAAAATTTCGGGTCACGCCCAAATTTTAACAATCTTCACTTTGACACGAATTTCACTGTAATGAACAAAACTTCAAAGGAAGAATTCTCCACCTGGCGACAAATTTCACTGCAAAGAATAAACTTGAACTCTTTAACGAAAAAACGTAAACGAACTTCTCCATCAAAATTCTAATTCTCCACCTCTGCTACCCAACTATGGGCAAAATTGATCTAATGACCACCAAACAAAGCTGAAACAAGTCCTGTAATAGAATCACAACTGAATGCATCAAAAGAAAGAGAATCAACATCCTTAACCGCATTCAAACTATTCGACTAAATAAGCAAAATTGTAACCATGTGGAACCTTATGGCAAAAAATAGGTTTATTTCTAGCAACTGAATACAGTGACACCGCCAATAATGGTGGCAAGACGGATTTACCCATAAATTCTAAATTCAACTGAGATATATTCCTCAAAGAAGACCCAAATTAGACTCCAACGATATAAAATTCAACTTCAAATCCACCCGAGTTCTTAAAATATGTCAAAGATTTCGTATAACACTGCAAGATATATAAAATGGTATTTTGTATGTCCCTTTAACAAAACACATGCTCCTTTACTAATCTTCAGGACTCCACTTTCAGCATTATACACGTACCATTTTTGAATCAAGAGTACTTAAGAACACAAGATTTCTCTTCAAATCTGGAACGTGTCTTACTACATCAAGTGTTCTAACCGTCCCATCAAATATCTTTATTCTGATCCAACCAATCTAACTATCCGACAATGTGTATTATTAAGGTCATAACAACACCTTTTGAATTTTCTTCATATGTTGAAAACAAATCCCGATTAAAAGTCATATGAAAAGTACAAGCTGTATAAAAAATTCAAGCCTCGTCAGGTTTAGAGTTGTAGTAAGACATTAGTAAAAGTTCTCAATCACTGTTAGGATTTTCTGCAATACTTACTTCCCTTGAAGTTTTTAATTCTTGATTTGCAATTAATTTCGATTTATTCTGCAACTTATAACAATCATTTATCAAGTGCCCCATTTTCTTGTAATAATTACAAAATTTGAAGTTAGATTGTGACTTGCCTTTTGAACGACCACTATCAACAATGAGACCATCTCCACGACCCTTAGATGCAACAAGATATTTCATATTCTCCTTTGAATATAGAGCATCATAGACTTCTTCATGATGAGAGTACCACGATTATATAAAATAATGTCTCTAAAAGACATATATGAAGTGGACAATGAGCATAATAAAATCAATCTCAAATTTTCGTAATCATATTTGACCTCAAAGGTCTCCAAATTAGCAAATTCCCTTATAATCAGTTAGGTGGTTCTCAAGATATGTACCTTCCGTCATACGATGAGAATATAGGTGTTGCTTCAGATGCAATTTACTAGTAAGACTATTCGTCATGCATAACTGCTCCAGTTTTAACCATAATGCAGCGACTGACTTCTCCTTCAAAACGTCGTGAAAAATATTATTTGAAAGATGAAAATGTATTTGAGATATGGCATTTCGATCCCTCCATTGTTTCTCTTCCATAGTCCAAGTTGTGGGCATCTTTTCAAATCCCAACAACGCGTCTCTAAATTTTTTTTTGAGTGATTACTGCTCGCATCTTTACTCGTCACAAAGAAAATCTTGTATTGCGATCTAATAGCGAAATATCATACTTCATTGTTGTCATCACGAAAAATCAAGTTGAGCTATTAACTTGATCAAAACCTCAATCTTCTCAAGAATTTCAACACCAAAAAGCTCTGATACCAGTTTATTATAAAAAAACGAAAATGATACCATATTAATCCAATACCAAATTATTGGAGAAAATGAGAGATTATAGCCACAATATGAAGTGATTGATCACAAGAATATAAGAACAAAATAATTTATAGAAAATTGAGATATTATAATATAGAGAAAGAATACAAATATTTTGTATTTATGATTTGTCCAATTTAATCTAAATTACAGTAAAGAGCTAAATATATATAGGGAGCAATCCAAACCCTAAAAGTAGAGTTGTATATGAAATAAAATACCCGAAAAGTTCCTTGTCATGATTTCTTTAAATCCAACAAAAATTTCAACTCTAAATTGGGCTTTCAAATAAAACTTCAACGAGGTTTTGTCAAATAGACTTTGAATAAAATTTTAAAGAACATTCAAAATAGAATTCCTCCTGACGTGCACTTTAATTAGAATTTTCAACTATCTTCAACAAAGAATTTGGGTCATACCCAAATTTTTACACTATAAGTGATTCATACACGCAACACAGGATTATTCATTTGCGTATATGCAAATAAACTAATGCAGCATGGCTGCAATGGTACATTCACGAGCAGTTACTGTTCCTTTACAACCAGCATTATACTTTATCTTGATTTGCTTCAAGTCCAGTTTCAATCTCCTCAATTCGTCCTCCAGTTCTCCCTGCATATGCAAGTCATTAAACCTTTCCTAATACAGCTGTACATTAACAAGGGCTAAAAATATAAATATAGAATGCAATTTCTTGAAAAAGTAGAAAATACGTGTATCAAAAATCAAGAGGTTAACTAACAGTCTGCAGTACACTTGGCTATACTGAAATTATTTAGTCAATTTCTTCTAGTAAGGAAACAATCAAGTTAAAAACAGAGTTTAGGTATATGTTGAAGTCAACATCAAAGGCTCGTAGCACAAATTTGTTTACTGATGCTTATCTTTAAGCTTTAGCCGACACATCAAATTCTAATTTCCGATAAATTGATATAGCTACCTCAATTTTCTTTATAAACAAATTCATTTCAGGAGACATATTCTTTGATCCAGCATGATCAATAAATTTGAGATGACTAGAAAGTATTGATGGAATGGCTAAAAGCATAGAGTATCAACAAATTCAGACCCCCTATCATTTTTTTCTCATACAAATCATTGCTGTTTTGTACTTACCGCTTCTTCGGAGGAGGTGGAGCTCCTAGAAGCATCAAGAGTGTGGGACTGGTCTAGAAGTTCAAAGGAGATATCAGATGATTGGAAGCTTTGAAGATCTGAACAAAGAAATGATTCAGATATCGAATGGGATAAACCCTGTTTAGATTGAACACGAAGATTAAGATTAACAACTGGCTTTTGGGGTGAAGAAATCTTGTTGCCTGGCTGCCCATTGGGTGGAGTCATGTGCATGAATTCACTGCTGCCAGTCACTGAACTATGCACAGATGCAAAGCTAGTAGTCTCTGAATGTTGAGGCAAAGAGCTTTTACAGCTGTAGAACCTTTCCCTTGGTGTCAGAGACTCACTGTTATTGTCAGGTGGAGTCCCGATGCAGAAGTGCCTCTCCCTTGGAGTCGTCTGCTGATACTGTCTGTTACTATTCATAGAATTTGAAGGCAAAGCATTCTTGATCTCAGGATGCATGTCTTTAGGACTGTCCAAGGATCTTAAGTGGCTTCCTCCTTGCAAAGATGATATCTCTGAGGCAGCATTTCTCCAGCTCCCTTGCCTGAGTGTTAGAAATCAGAAATGAAATACGAAACTATGAACAAATCACGCTTGCTGGGAAAGTAGAGGAAATGTTTCAGAGAAATTTACCAAAATAAAATTACATAAGTCAGGTATTATGTCAAGTCTTTACCCAATTGAAAAAGGAACCATGTATCTCGACTTACTGGTGAAAATCTTCACAAGATGGGGTATCTGGTGAGCACCCTGAGTGAGGTGACTTCCTTGAACCGTTGAGCTTGAAGGGTTGACTGACTGATTTAAGTTTCAGTACTCTTTCCTTTGATATAGCATATACTGAACAGGTATCAGGTGCAGATTTTCCTAAATAGCTGGCAACGTCTATATTTTTAAATGCCCTGATAACAGACGACAAAGAAATATTGAGAAATGTGTGAAAAGAGAAATCAAATAGGTCTTAGACCTCATCAGACACCATATAGGATATATCCTAACAAATGTATGCCTAAATCTATTATAGTGGATCAACAAAGCTATCTAAGTTTATCGAGTATATTGTCTCCCATGTGACCATTAATCTAGCAGGTTGAACTCTCTGCATGAAACTCCACAGAAAATTATATTCTAATGAAAAATCTAGTTTATGATACTTCTAAAATAACTAGCTGAGTTTGACAAAGAGGAGACATATACAATGAAGAATACCTTGCTATTGCACTTCGGCTACAAGCTCCAAGGACAATGTCGGTTATAAAGTTGTCACTGATATACTGGACAAGTGTATTTGCAACATCTACAGAATTGAGAATCACCTCCTTTGCACGAATCTAAATTCATTAAAATCGTGGAATTAAGCACGGGTAATCTATCTACGTGGAAAAATTGACAAGTTTCATAGTATGTACTTTATATTCAATATCATCTCGTCTATTTAAAACTTTCTTAATACAAATGATCATCCAACCAAGCCAATTCGCTTAAATTCACTTTTTAGCACTAGTGTTTAATCAAGAAATAAATTTAATCCCAAAAACTCCATTACGAGAACCTAATGAGCCTCACGATGAGCAATAGAACTCTGCTGCCAAATAATTTTACTTGTAAATGGTAGACATAAAGTAAGTTTGAAAGGTTCTGGAGTTACCCCCTTTCGAGCACAAAACCCGCTATAGGGAAGAAAGAAGTGTTGTTCAGTTTGAGTTGGCGCTCAACCTTCTTTAGAGACAACATCCTCTGCATTAGACCCAATTCAAATTAGAAAAAAGTCAATAGACTAAACAATAGAAATATTCACTTCAATAAGAGTTAATAAATCACAAAGATTCAACCCTTAATTAGGTAAAAATTAAAATTACATGGGCACATTACAATTTAAATCCTTAAATACAATTAGAACAGGATTTTTGAACAGTATATAGAAATGCAAAGGCTTAATTTACAAACCCTTAATCATTATCGATTACATATTGCTTTAAAGAACAAATCGTATAAACTATCCTTGAATCTCTTAACTGGCAACTTTTAGCCATTATAAATTAATTATCACCATCAAATGAAATATCAACACGTTGATCTTCAAATGAATAAAGAACGAGATACCTACGGGGATGCAAATTTGGTTGGGTCATAACATGGACAAGGATAATTCGTTTATCCTTCAAATCTATATTATCGACAGCCCATTTGACGGCATATTGGCTGTTCTTATCTCTGTCAATTGCCACAGCGGTCGAGATTGTGTCCATGTTATATTATTTGAGAAAAGAGAAAGATGACGGTCTGGTATGCTGGCGGCTCCACCAGCAAGGCGGTTGCTGGGGTGGCTCTACGTGAGCAGCTCAGCCATGCACGGGCATAAGGCAGCAGCTCAAATGAGCGTCGTTCATATGAAATGTTTTGACAATTCATTTTTGAGCTACGGTTTTATTGGAGGCAAATACTAACATTTCCGAGTTAATTGTTTCATTAGCCACTGAACTTTGAGTTATGATTTACCCATCGAACTTTCAAACTTGTCATGTTGGTCATTGAACTTCAATCCATTACTGCCTGTTACTCACAAGCTCAAATATGTTAATTTACGTATCTACGTGGCAAACGAAAAGTCTAGTTGGCCGATTAAATCCTTACCAGTGTTAAATGTTTTCTCAAATCATCGACCACATCAGCATACTAGACACGCATTTGTCATTGTAAGTACATGTCTTTCACTCTAGAGTGAACATAACACAAAATGCAAACCCTTTCACTTTGATTAAACATAACCTAAATTGTTCAGAAAGGGGAAGAAAAAAATCATTTTCTTTTCCTGGAATTTCCCTTCTCGAAATCGAAATCCTTAATCCCCCAAAGTGAATCGATTCGACAATCGATAACCTGAGTCCAAAATCAAAGTCCTTCCCTCTGTTGTTGTCCATGCAAAGAGCCCAACCTAAGTATGAAGGATACGGACAACAACGAGGTAATCTCAAATTTTTTCTGTTCTTTTTTGGGTACAAAGAATTCATAGACGTGCAAAAGATTAATAGATAAATTTAATTTCCTATTTCCGAAAATTTTTGTAGTTGCTTCAATAAGTATTTTCTTGTTTGTCATTTCCTACAAAGATGTCCGTGTAATGGCCAAAGTTTGTTGTTCTCTATATATTTTTTGTTTTTTCTGTTATGAACATATGTTATCGTCCTCAATCATATGTTTTATGCCCTCAATCATATGTTTTTTTTTTCATTTAGTTCTTGTTTACTTTAACTTTATTTTCTACCATTGTTATTTCGAAGGTGAAAGAGGAGTTAATGTTTCATTAGCCAAAGTACAGTGACATTTAACTAGGTGAAAGAGATACATTAAATGAATTTCTTACATTGTGTAGTAGAGTAGTAATATCGATTTCGTTGTTATAGCATCTCTATCTAATATACAATGTTAAAATTTGAACTTCATATATTGGTTGAATGTTGGTTTAAATTTTTACTATTTGCATGTACTCTTCATTAATGCGGTTCAATTGTATGACAGATTGTGAGAAAGATCCAGACTTCTTAGAATCCAACCATGACTTTGAGTCTTACGAAGATGACATCGAATATGATAGAAACGTAACTGATGGGATTCAAATTGGATTGGAGCCGTGAAAATGAAGTACGGGAAGAACGAGATGAGGTCAACGAGAACGAGTTGGATGAATTAGAATTACAGTCGTCAGAGGAACTACTCTCCCAATGTTCATCCGAAGATGATGGCAGTTATTTCTTTCCTGAATTCACTTTTGATCAGGACATGACAAATTAGTTTCGCGGCAGAGTTCTGGGTAGCGGTGCGAATGTAAAGTGCATTGAATGGGTACAATGTAAAATTTAAGGCAAACGAGGAAAGAAGAGTGCAAAGAATTTGTAAATTGGGCTGCAAATGACGAATATGGGGTTCTAAATTGGATGCATCTGAGAGGCTGCAAGTAAAATCTTACACTTCGGAGCATATCTGTAGTCTAGATCTATTTAATAGACATTGGAATTATATATTCTTGACACGTTGATATATTGAGCAATTAAGACGGACCCGAACAGGAAGATTGAGCTTATTTTGGCAACATTGGAGGATCTCTGTATAGATATTAGCAGAAATGTGGCATGGAAGGTGCGGAGATACGCAAAAGAACTTTTAATAGGGAATTTGAAAGAGAAGTTTAGGTGAATGAGGTCTTATGCAGTACAAATACTGACTCGACAATCATTATTGCATTACATGATCAGATATTTCAAGGGATCTACATAAGCTTCAATTGTTGTAAGGTAGGTTTTAGAGATGGTTGCATGAAGGTAGTAGGTGTTGACGGTTGTCACTTAAGGGGTTGTTTCTGAGGGATAATGTTAACTGCAGTTGGTATTGATGACTACATCTATCCCGTTGCCTATGCAATTGTTCAAAAAGAAAGTACAAAAGCTTGGTGATGGTTCTTGACCTATCTCTCAAAAGATATTAGGATTGGAGATGAAAGATGTTGGACTCTAATGGCCGACAGACAATAGAGGCTACAAAATGTGACAAACAAGTTGTTCCCTAAGACCGAGCATAGGTTCTATGTATGACATGTACACAAACTTCTTTAATATTGGGTTCAAAAGTAAAATTCTGAAGAATTACTTATGGCGTGCTGCCAAATTGACCACTGTTGCTGACTATCGACATTGGATACAACAAATTCATCAACTTAGTAAGGAAGCGTATAAATAGCTTATGGATAGACGCTTGCAAGAATGGAGTAGATCACATTTCTCAGTTTAATCGAAGAGTGACATTCTACTTAACAATATATGCGAAGTGTTCACAAGACATTGCGGTCTGATAGAGAAAAGATGATTATGTCGCTATTAACTTCACAACAATTAACCTTCATAAATAGGATTCGAAAGCATCGAGACACGATGATGAGGTGTACATGACGTTTGTGTCCGAAGATCAATAAGAAATTGCACAAGATTGCTGAGAAATCGCGTGAATGCACATTACATTTTTTTGGTGGTTCGAAATGGCAAGTTGAATGCAACTTTGGGACTATGTTGTCAATCTACAGGACAGAACTTGTGCATGTAGAGAATGGGAACTTATAGGCCATATGTTGTCGATTTATAGGACAGAACTTGTGCACGTAGAGAATGGGAACTTATCGACATACCTTGCTTGTATGCAGCAGCAATAATTAGACAATGCAGAAATGATCCAAAAGACTTCGTTCACAACTGCTACACGATTGAGACGTATATGAGGTGCTACAATAGTATCATGCATCCAATTAACGGTATGCTGTTATGGCCACAATTAGATATGGTTGATATCATTCCACCGCCATTGACTGTACCGCGAAAAGGTAAGAGATAGATAAATAGGAGAAAAAGGAGGAGATGAAGATGTGATAGTCCATTCACAAAAGAATACTTATATTCGGAGAAAGGGGCGACTGAAGATGACGTGCACATTATGCAGACATTAGGGTCACAACAAGCGATGCCACTTTAGGTCGGATGCACCCGATTCTGTGAGTACGATCTTACTTTCTTTGACGTGATAATTCGATTAATGTAATATAACTTTATTTTTTGTCAATAGGATTGGTTTGGAGGAACACATTGCGATAGAGCGGTCAACAAATGAGTTTGTAGATGTTTGATTCAATTTTGCAAATGTTTGTTGTCATATTTTTTTGGATAATGGGAATAAGATGAAAATGTGATGTATGCATCATGTAGGGTAAAATGTTGCTAAAGAGGAAATAGCGAGCATCGAAGGACCACAATCCCAGGAACGAACAAACTTTCCATTTCATTCCAACCTCGATGGTGTCTTGTGAAGCGCGGTCAAACAGTTTGAAATGTAGTCCAACAGCAACAATGTGCAAGCAGTCGGTTCCTGTTGATGTTGCAACCGATGATGTGAACTTTGACGTTGTTGTGGAAGACTTGAATGACATGGGGGATGCGGAATCTGCCAGTATGAGAGCTTTGAGGGTAGAAAAACGACGACCTGCGAAGCAGAGTACAACAGCAGGAACACAAGTTTGAAGTCAATGTTTATATTTTTTTGATAAAAGTTGATATGTGAGTTGCTGCCCTTTTTGCCTTCTCCATTGAATTACTTTTCTATGTTAATGATTTTGAGGAGAATATGGGAATGAAGTGCAAATATATAATGGAAGGATGATAGGACTTGTTCTTGGTTTTGAATGATAATAGCTACACCGATTTTTTTGGACAGAGCAATGTTTTTTTTCTTTTCTTTTTTTGGAACAACATTTGAATTATGATTTTGTCCAGTGTAAATGATTTGGCCTGTTTGTTTCTGATTAAAATCTAATTTTAATCTTAAGTCAAAATCAACAATTAATTTTAACCACACATTTCATGGGGTCCACAACTTTTCAACCACACATTAAATCAATTTTTTTTTATCAAAATCTACTAAAAACATGATTTTAATCTACAACAAAATGGGGTTTGGCATGTAAATTCCAAACATATTGTTATATATGGTTGATTTGGTATATATTCTGAAATCTCTTTGTGATCCTTTTTGTTTGATGTTGTGGAAGAGTTGATCATCCTCGCATTAGTTCTCCTTGTCATGTTTTTTTTTTTGTTTTTTCAAATGCTTTATTATCAATTACTAAGAATATTGCTCTGTGAGCCTCACTCCATTGGTGAGGCATAATTCATTGGGATCATTTGTAAAGCAAGTGCACTAATGTTTGACCATTAAAACAGTTAAGAATTGTCATTAATGGGTTAAAGACTCATCAGACGAACCCAAAAATGAAAGACTAGGGCATAAAATTCAGATTATGCATTCAAGAACTTTGGTATTATTACAATTCATTTTTAATTATTTATGAGGTTTGCTACATATCAATAAGAATAAAAGGGATGAAGCCACAAAGAAATACAATAATAATACACCAGTTAATCCTTTAAGCAATATAATTAGTCATAGCAATCTATGGAGCAGTCTTTTCAGGATCAAATCCAGCAAGTTGTTCTCAACCCTCCCTATTCAATTTCTCAGCAAACTCGTGTCATGGACTCTTGCTTATTGGACTTACCTTTATTTGATTTAATTGGGCTTGTATTGTTAGTGAGCTAGCCAAAAGCCCTTGTTGTTTGGGTCTATATGTAGTGGTATCTCTGCATTTGGAAAGACATCGATGAATTGAACTAGGGCGTGTAGTCAGTCTTCTTCCCTCCTCTTCTCGGTTCTT